AATTCACTCGTGACAAATTCCTTCATTTTTCACCATTTCAGTCATGGCATCAGTGGAGGATGAAGAGATCACTTGTCTTTTGGCAAAAAAAGAAAAGAAAAGGCCAAATCAGGGATGAAGAAGGGGAATTTAATACATTGGTGTCACATACAAAACAGTCCGTCGCTGGGCAGTTTATTGTGCGCCGCCGCGTACGCCGTCGTAAAAATTGAGCTTTGCTTGGACATGCCCTACATACCTCCGTGTACGTACTTACGCGGGAGTATACTGGGGCCTTTACTAGCGATAACAGCATTTTAAAGACTCGCACAGACTTGGGCGGTCCTCAGTCCATACGGAAACTGTGCGCAATGTCCGCAGAGGGTTGAGACTTCATACTTGAGTGTCCACCCTAAGCGGCTGCAGCCCAGCTCCACAGGCAAGGGACGTTTACCTTCAGGACAAATTGAGTTCGCCGATGGGCCATTTGCTGACACCCCTATTGACATTAGAACACAAAACATCAACAATAACATGGTTGTGTTTATTATTGCTCAAAAACCATTATCTGGGCTGAGAGATAATGGTCAACAATATCCTTTACATCAAAGTCCATGCTCAATAATCCAGGTATACTATCCTCTATATAATATCCTTTACAACTTACTTACCTCCACCATGAAGCCTCCACTGTAAAAAAAGGCAGCAAATTTTAACAACAAAGTTTGTGACTCAGCAGAGAGAGAGAGAAAAAAAAAAGACAACAGTAGTAAAGTATATGTGCACGTTCAAAGGAGTAGTATAAACTTATTGTTACACCCACCACTCTTACCTCGATATTCAATTCAATTCAAAAATACTTTATTAATCCCAAAGGGAAATTATTTGTTGCTGTAACTCGTTATCTTCATTTCATTAAGAGATGTTATAGATGCGGATGGCTGTAAACAGGAAGGATCTCTTGTAAAGGTCCATCCCACAGTGCATCCTAAGAAACTGGCTGCAGATGTCATCCGATCCGTCCACCCAGACTCGGCTGGCCTCTCGGTTCCCCCGGGCTGTAGGAATGCCGGGCAGAACTCCTCCCAGAGCGATGGCCACTCCTCCCAGCAGTCTGCCGAGCTCCTCGTCGCTGCGAACAGACAACTGTAGGTGCCGAGGGACAATCCTGTCCTTCTGCTGTCATTAGCCGTGTTTCCTGCTAGTTCCAGGATCTCAGTGGTCAGGCAATTGAGCACAGCTGGCAGGTAGATGAGAATGCGTCCACAGAACATCCTTTTCAACTCATTTGAGATTTGGGGCTGTAGTTGAGATATTATTTGACCTTTTGAGACGTTATTCAGCTGCTGTTGGTTTCCTGATGCATGCTCAATAATCCAGGTAGAAAAATCTAAAAAAAAGTTAAATCTGGTCCTCTGGACATTCAAAAAAGCAAAACAACAAAAAAATGTAGAAACGTTTCGTCTCTCATCCAAGAGACTTCCTCAGTCTGAGGTGCTGTATTCAGCTCAGTCTCTTAAATAGCACCTTCTCAGAGTGGATCAACCAGTTTTGCTGCTGACAACCAAAACCAGCTGATCACATGCTCAAGGAGGACCATCAGCCTAACAATGGATCATTAGCACACTGATGGCTGTTTACTATTCACAGAGGGCTGAGTGATACTAGCAATCACAGCATTGTAAGAGGGGGACAATTGAACACGTAGGCCTCCACCCCTGTTTAATGATGGACGGTTTCTTTTCACAAAGATGGCCTCCTTTACTCCTCTCTCAAACCATCGTTCCTCTCTATCCAGGATGTGCACATCTTCATCCCTGAAAGAGTGACCGCTGGCCTGGAGATGAGTGTAGACCGCAGAGTCCTGGCCTGATGATGTTGATCTTCTGTGCTGGGCCATCCTTTTGGCCAGTGGCTGTTTTGTTTCCCCGATGTAAGACTGATCACAGCCCTCCTGACACTGAACAGCATACACAACATTACTCTGTTTGTGCCGGGGAACTGGATCTTTGGGATGAACCAAATTCGTACTAATAGCTCATCAACACCATCACTATTCCAATAACAATATATTCAGTGTAGGACAACACTCCAGTAGTCAATTACATGCCAGGGAGACAGAAAAGTGGGTGATGAATTTATCTGACAGACAGCTCACCCAGCCGGAGACAGAGATTCTTTCCAGGGGACTGAACTTTGCGGTTGCACCAAGTAGAATTCCTCTGGTGGAGATGATCACAGCTACTGAGTCAGCCATCCGCAACAACAAAATTAAAGAGGCTGAAGCAGAACAGCTCAGAATCAAAGTTTCAGCCTGCCTCAGCAATGCCAAACCACCACCTTCCAACATCAGTAGAGAGGAGAGGGACGCACTCACCACTCTTAGCAAGGACAAAAACATCATCATTCTCCCAACAGACAAAGGAAGGTGCACAGTGATTTTGAACCAGAAAGACTATCATGAGAAAGTTATGACACTCCTTAGTGACTTAAACACTTATGAACCTCTGAAAAGAGATCCAGGAAGTGGTTACAAGAAGAAATTGATAGATTGCCTGAAAATTTTGGAGCAGGACAAGGCTATTGACCGTTTTCTGTACCACAGACTGTACCCAGGGGAGGCCACACCTAGTCTGTATGTTTTACCTCAAATCCACAAACAAGGTGTACCTTTAAGACCAATTGTTAGCATGATTAACTCTGTCACTTACAATGTTTCCAAATATCTGGCGTCTGTACTCATCCCTTTAGTTGGCAGCTCAGAACACCACATACAGAACACCATGGACTTTGTGGATAAGGTGAGGGATGTCATCATGGAGACTGATGAAACAATGGTCTCTTTTGATGTCACATCACTCTTTATGTGCATTCCTGTTGATGATGCAGTAGAGGTGGTCAGTTTAAAATTAAAATCAGACACCACTCTGAGCAGCAGGACCATGCTTTCCACAGAACAACTGTGTCAACTCTTGAAACTGTGCCTGCAGTCAACCTACTTCACATATGGGGAGCAATATTATAGGCAGAAACATGGGTGTGCTATGGGGTCTCCAGTTTCTCCTATTGTTGCCAACCTGTACATGGAGGAGGTAGAAAAGAGAGCCTTGACGTCCTTTTCAGGGACACCACCAAGTCATTGGTTCAGGTATGTTGACGACACCTGGGTTAAAATTAAATCTCAGGAAGTCCAACATTTTACTGACCACATCAACTCTGTGGATAAATACATCAAGTTCACACGAGAAGATGAAAAAAATGGCAAGTTGGCTTTCTTGGACTGTGAGGTCTCAGTCTCTGATTGAGGACATTTGCAAACTGAAGTGTACCGCAAACCCACCCACACAGACCAGTATTTGCAGTTTGGCTCCCATCACCCTTTGGAGCACAAGTTAGGAGTCATCAGGACTCTGTATCACAGAGCAGACAGCGTCCCCACTAGCTCAGGAGCCAGGCAGAAGGAGAAATCCCACACAAGACGGGCTCTAGAGCAATGTAGATATCCTAACTGGGCCTTCCTGAAAGCAGAGAAGAAACCCAAACAGGACTCCAGTCAGCCAACAGGTGAAAAGGAGGAACCCAGACCCAGACCAGTGGTCATTCCATATGTTGAGGGAGTGTCAGAGAAACTGAGACATTTATTTTCTAAACATAACGTCCCAGTGGCTTTTAAACCCCAAAATACATTACAGCAAAGACTGGTTCATCCCAAAGATCCATTCCCCCGGCACGAACATAGTAATGTTGTGTATGCTGTTCAATGTCAGGAGGGCTGTGATCAGTCTTACATCGGGGAAACTAAACAGCCACAAGATCAACATCATCAGGCCAGGACTCTGCGGCCTACACTCATCTCCAGGCCAGCGGTCACTCTTTCAGGGATGAAGATGTTCACATCCTGGATAGAGAGGAACAATGGTTTGAGAGAGGAGTAAAGGAGGCCATCTTTGTGAAAAGAAATCGTCCATCGTTAAACAGGGGTGGAGGCCTCCAGGTTCAACTGTCCCCCTCTTACAATGCTGTGATTGCTAGTATCACTCAGCCCTCTGTGAGTAGTAAACAGCCATCAGTGTGCTAATGATCCATTGTTAGGCTGATGGTCCTTCTTGAGCATGTGATCAGCTGGTTTTGGTTGTCAGCAGCAAAACTGGTTGATCCACTCTGAGAAGGCGCTATTTAAGAGACTGAGCTGAATACAGCACCTCAGACTGAGGAAGTCTCTCGGATGAGAGACGAAACGTTTCTACATTTTTTTTGTTGTTTTGCTTTTTT